GTTTGGAACTTTTAAAACTTTGATTTAGGGCTTTTCAATATGACTCTATCTGACGTGATTTACAAGCATGAAAGTTTTGGTTCTGAAACAAAAGTTATGTCAAGGATGTAATTAAGGAAAGATGCATTTCAATTTTTTGGAGGGTCTGAATGTATTGTAGCCTCCTTTTGTCATTCTTAGTAAGCTTATCGGTCCAATTCAGGCTCTGTCCAGAATTATCTAGGAAGTTCTGGGTCCTTTCTTCTAGTGTTGGAAAGGTTTTGCATTTTTTGAGACTAGTTTTCTTGCCATTAACCTATGTCGCATTCTCATGTTTGGACCCTAACACTTTCCCTCTGTACAGGGGTTCTATTCTCAACAAGAAACCATCCAAAAACGAAGGACTTGATGGTAGTTCCATAATTTAGGTTTATAAACACCATTTTTATAAGATTATTAACACTTTATATAGTTGCTTTTCTATTGCTATTTCTGCTCTAGTCTTTCATAAAATTCTGATCCAAGTATGCCTTATATACTTTTACAGCCAGAAGATTTCTGGATAAGTTCATCAAAGAAGGGAGTATTGATCTTTGCTCTGCCAGGAGAGCCTGGTATAACAGAATTATCTGGGGATTTCAAAATCCACTTCCATGATCGGCAAGGAGATTTCTACTGGTTTGTGATCATCATCTTCTTTAAGCAGTTTTTTTTTTTTCCCTGCAAACCCATCGCCATTGAAGTTTCAAGTCAATTAGCTTTTTCATGAATGGTTGTGAAAACCTGCTCTCTTCCCATCCAGTCTGGTTTTTATCTAGAGATTGACGGTCCTTTTCCTCTTTGTTCAGTTGGTTGAATACAACAATGATTGAGAATAGAAAAACCTTGGATGCTTCAGATCTTGATGGTTTTGACAAGGTACTAAAAATCGCAACAGCTTTTGCTTCTGAACATATCCAACTTGTAGTCTGCATCGTTCTTTTTTTTTTTTTTTTTTCCTTCGTTTGTTTCAATTGCCCATGCTCCATTTTGATGTTCTGGTTGCCTATGCTTCCCAGAGAAAACTGCCTTCTCCTGGGTTCCAGGTTGAAATTGTGATGATAGATTATGATGGTACTTTACCAACAAAGTCCAATGCTCACAATACCCGCAAGGGATCTGATGGCACCACCAGTTCAAATAATCTTTCTGTCTCAAGTGGAGTCACAGTTCCTAAGGAAAAACGTCAAGTTGCTTATAATGAAGATGATGTATTCTCGGACAGTGACGGAGAGGAAACTGGAGGTTCAAAAGGCAAGCAAAGCCAAGGTCCTGCTGTTGTATCGCGACCTGACCATGCATCTAATATGACAACAGAGCAAATGAAGAGCTTAGCTCATGGGCCTGAACAACTTTCGCTCCATGACAGCTCTACTGTGAATGCTTCCAAAAAACCGGGCAATGACAGCGTTCAGAGCCCTGGCTCGGGCCTTACACACACCATTGAAGTCACTGATATTAAGGCAATTGCTGCTGATGCTTCAGTTTTCTCTTTTCGAGATGAAGAAGATTATGAAAGTGAGTAAAGTTTTATGAGGAAAGCATTAACATGAAGTGTGCAGGTAACATCTCACGGGAATTGGCGGCCCGTAATGGTAATTGAATTCATTGCATTATTCTTTGCTTCTTATTCATTGCTCCTGAAAAGTTCCAGATGTCCATACTTTTCAGCTGATTGTCTCCCGTTTGTACATTCTGTCTCAATTTCATTCCTTTGCTTTTCATATTCTTCGTGCATGTAAAAAAGTCATATAATCCCCTGTAATGAAAGAAAGGTCCTGGGATTTCGGTGAATGAGTTGAACGGAAACAAAATGTCATATGAGTACATTTTTGTCTAATATAATGTCATGAATAATTCGGCTTATATTTTGTGGACGGTTTTGAAATTTAAATTATCTCGTATCTTCAATGTAGTCATACAACATGTTAGTTAAGAGTGTTTCGTTACGAAATCGGGTCAATTATGCGAGAAAGATCCACTGGCCACAAATACGTCACTTTTGTTTTAAACTCGTCATCGCTGCATCGGAACTGGCAGTTCGTATTTGTTTATACATCAATATGCACAACTTAGGTCCCTAGATGGCTGATTGTTTGCCATTTACGGGGAGCAACTCCTGCAAAAACAAACTAATAAACCACTTCTAAATTAACCGTGCATACTTTGCAAGGTTTTGAATTCACATGAAATTTCTCCTTGGAATCTACTTGATGTCTTTATCCATGAACACCCAATATGTGCTGGTTTCCCTAGTCAATCCCTTCCATTTTACTGAAGGAGGTTTTTTGATATTTCCCGTGTGATATTTGTAAACCAAAAGCGTAGAACCTTGCGCTCATTCTGGCCAGAATTACTCTCAGAATGATAGACTAGAGTAGTCTATTCAGAAATTCAAGTAAATATGAATCACAGATGTAGAAGCTAGGGCCTGTTTGGAAACCTATTATGAGAACAGGTTTTTAGTTTTCATGCTTTTTAAAAAGTCAAAAACTTATTTGGATAAATAAAGATTGCATCATTGGGAGAAAAGAGTTTTGAAAAAAGAGTCCTTAGAGAATTGAAAATTGAAAAGTACAAAAAGGTGTTTTGGTGTTTTTTTCAAAACACGGGGGTGGTATTTTGGTTATATTGAAGAAAACCATTATTTCATTAATGGTAGTTTTGTAAATAAAGAGACAATAACATAAATGCAATTTTTTGGTTTTTTTCGCTTTCTTCTTGGTTTGTCTCACTAGTTTGTTTCAAAGAGGACGGCAACACTTCCTCCCTGGCTTGTTTCAAAGAGGCCAGACCAAGTGAGATAGCTGCCTGCGAAGAAAGGGGAGTTCAACGTCCAGTCTGCATATCAGGTTTTAGAAATGGAAAACTGGAGTCCAAAAGACAGAATATGGGATCGGGTCTGGAGCTAGAAGGGTCCAGCACAAACCTGTACCTTCCTTTGGCTTGTATGTCATGGAAGATTGCTAACAAATGATCTCCGTTATTCAAGGCACATGGCCTAATCTAGTGTATGCCCAAGATGCGAGCAAGAAACTGAGACAATCTTGCATGCCTTGGAATTGCATCTGTGTCCAGGATATTTGGGGAGCGATCAGCAACCACTGTCTGAATGATGTTTTTTTTTACCATGGACCTCCAAGAATGGGTGCGAACTAATCTTCAAGATAATGGTGCCACTTGATTGGGGCCTTCGGTTTGCAGTCACAGCCTGGAAGATTTGGTAGTGGTGTAACCAAAGTATATTTGAGAAGGAGGAGGCTATAGCCTCGGCACCCATTAGGGTAATCCACTATCACATCTCAAGTATAAAAAATGCACATCTCTCGACAGGGTTGAACAGGGGAAGATTCAGACCTCCACTATAACTTCCACACAAATGGAACCCTCCCATGCGTGGATTCTGGAAACTCAATGTGGCAGTGGTTGCTGATCCAACCAACCAGAGCTATGGAATAGGAGGTGTGTGTCGTGATGAGAATGGCATGTGGCTCTCGGGTTTTTGTCAACAGATGCAGCTGGATTCACCGTTCAGGGCAGAACTATGGGCCATTCTACAGGGCCTCCAAATGGCAATCAACCTGAACATACAGACCCTACTCTTTGAGTCTGAAAATGCTGCTGTAGCTGGTTGCATGAAGGTTTTGAATGGGACCATGATCTCAATGTTTTGGCAAACCAATGCATTGCGTTATTGAAAGCAAAAGTGTCGTGGTCTCTATCTTTTGTATATAAAGAGGCTAATGTAGTTGCTCAATCCTTAGCCTCTTTGGCCCATAATTTTTGTCCAGGGCCAAATATTTTGTCATCCCCTCCAAGTGTAATTATTGACCTTCTTTCGGAGGATAGAGGGCCATAGAGTGGTATACCAGTGATTTTGTTTTTGTACTACTGTTACACAGTTTAAATGCAATAGAATGCAATCCCGGTTTCGACAAAAAAAGAAAAAGGCAGCAGCCGTAGGTGGGTTTTTTTTTTATCTTGGTAAAGTCTTTCCAAACAAAAAAAAAGAATTATGGGTGTAGATATAGAGAGGGGCTCTTGGGTAATGGAGACGCGGTGGGCACTGTACAAAGCACCACCGCACTTGTCTACGAAGTAATAGTCGGCAACACCAGCATTAGCAGCAACAACAGCCCGGGTGTAGCAATACTAGCATCGATCATAGCCATTCTTTTATTCTAAGAATTTGTTTGATGACCCCTTGTCCCCTTCGTCTCCTCTTTCACCATAGTCAACCTTCTTTCTGGTTTTGATCTACTTTGGCTTGAAAACGGCAACATTTTGCCAACACAATTTTATTTGTATCACTTAATAAAATTTTATAATATCAAATTACAAACAGAAAAAAAAGAGATTTATTTGTAATGTTAAAAAATTAAAAATATCAAATTATCATCTCCAAAAACATTTGAACATTCAGCATAATGTATTAATTTAAGCATCAAGTAAACAATGTTCCAAATCCAATTATTAATAAACTATGTCATTATTATTGTATTGTAAAATTTTCATATATAATTAACATATTTTTTAAAATAAATAATTCTCATAAAGTTTAAAAATAGTTTTAAAATTTTATCTTTGTCAAACAAGCTTTGTATTTTTAGTTTTTAAGAACTGTTCCAAAGTATAAAATATCCAAACGGATTTTCAACATTTAGAAAACTCCCAAAACAGTTCTCTGTTCTTAATTTTCAGAACACTTCTTAAAGAACTAAAAACACAAAACACTCCCCACAGAAGTCCAGACATAATTAGCCAAGATAATTGAATGACTACAAAAATTAGAAGGAAACAGAAAACCAAAAAGTAAAAATATGAAACCAAAATGAAGAGAAGCAATCTTCCTTAACTTTGAGGACTTTGGCTAAGCCTTTAGAAGACCCAGGGATCACTTGGTAAGCAGCCTCAGCATACTAGACCGTAGCCACCCAGTGAACAAAACAATTTTCCACGGAATAGGCAGGAACAGTTCACCTTCACTTTCTCTTTCTAAGTTTCTCTTCTTCCAGCCTTTTTTTGAGTCCAGAAATCATCTTATCCTGCATACAGATTTGAAAATCCTTACTTTTTATTTCATGCTTCAGTTTTTCAATCTCTTCAACGTGTTTATTGTACTGTTCTAACTCCTTTAGTTCCAATTCCTTCTTCAGTCCATCAATCTCTTTCAAGAGGTCACAACAGTGGTTTGGATACTTTTGCTTTGGTAATTGTTGCAATATTTTGTCCTCTTCCAAAATATTCTCATATTGATCTGTCTTCTGTTTCTTGGCATTGCCTGAATCCTCACCTTCAAACGCTCTCTTCTTCAGCGAAACTTCATCTCCTGTATAATCATGTCTCATCTTCCGAACAAATACGCTAACAGTTTCACCTGTGTTTAGTCTGAATGAGATCCGTTTTTGCGGTAGCCCAGATGAATCCTGCACAAAGGAGCAATATTTATAGTGGGGTCACAGAAAAGGTGCTTACCTGGTGAAGTTGGACTTCTATCTAAAACACATCCAGACAAATAACCACATTCGCATGCACACTTTTTCATATTGCATTTTGAAAATGGTTTCAGCAGCAATCTATGATAAAAATCCACAGTGCTACAGCAGGCATGATCCGGCATCATCTTTTCAATAAAGAACAAATTATTGCCATACCTCAAAATGATAATTCTGGAAGCAGAGATGCAAGAAAACCTAATCATCTAGTGGGTTTCCAAAAATTGATTTCCACCCCTCCAGGTACAGAAATATTATGGTGACCAGATGGAGAAAAACCTTAAAGTTTTGAAGGCAAGAGAAAGAGAAAGACTTAACATAACCTAATCAACTTTCACTGCAAATAAAATAGACAAAGCTAATCAAGTTTTGATCAGTCACAGAACATGAGGGTTGAAAGTCAATGTATAAAAACACTGGGGAAAAATTGCAAGGTTCACAAATCAGTTACCATAAATGACAGAATTCACCAACCACCATATACCTTGTTTGGATTGGCATTCAAAATTTCGAATGCCTGATTAGCCTCCACTTTATCCTTAAAGATCACATGCATGGAATATGGTGCTCCTTCGGCCTTCTTATTTAGCTGCCAGAAATTATTTGCTACATTAGGCACTGGGCATCAATTTAATAAGTGATTAAACTTATCTGCTGCGGACAATCTGGGTAAATGGTGACTAAAATCTAATTCCGGATTTGGGGTTTACCAGTTTCCAATTCAAGTTGAGGGAAAAGCTTACGACTGGCTTAGACACACACGCAAAGAGAGAGAGAGAGAGAGAGAGAGAGAGAACTTTTCTTTCTGAGTCTACTTCAGAACGAGCAACGGCAGATTTTATTTCTTGCATGCAATATAAAATCTTGGAATATTTTTTGCAGGCTCAATGTAAAAAAGATTAACATAAAATTTGAAATAATTTTATTCATCAGTTTACAACTCCTCAACAGTTCCAAAACAACAAAAATTTCATAATATTTGAAATGTCTTGAGGACAAAAGCTGTATGGTTTAGTAACCAGTGTCAAGGTTTATATGGGCTAACGCACAAACAAGGAGAGAAATAAAAACCGAGTGGCGGGCTATTTCTCTCCTATCTTAAGTCCAAATTATTGACACACAAAAGGCATTAAGGCATCATTACGGTGACCTTTCTTCCTCTTATTTTGTTTTCCTGGACTACTGCTACAAGTCTTTGACACAACAAAACATTGCTATTGTCAGAACTTGAGAGCAGCCCTCTGTGATGGTTGCTCTCTTGTGTGCGATAAACAATTGAAAGATGAAAATATGTAGATGGAGATGGATCATTAGAACCACCCATACATATTTTGTGAGGGAAAAAAACTTCATCAGGAAGCATCATTTTTCCTGTCCTAATATCTTCTCAAGTAAATGGACTTAAGTTGCCCCAAATATTAACTTCAAAAAAGTATAGAGACAAACAGAATACACCAAACCTTAAGCTCAAAAGTAAAACTCTGAGGGAAGATTCTTTGTAATTCTTTCTGACGAACATTAGCAGGTATCCTATGAATAAGTAGCTTTGCCATTTCAGTTTCCCACACCTGAAAGAATGATATCCCAAAATAAAATTATTACAAGTCTCACATCAGTCCGAATTTCAGATGCTTAACAACTATATCATTTAACTTACATCCTTTCCATGTTCTTGAATCAACGGGATTTCGGTATCTACTCCTCGCTCAATCTTTGCGAGAACGACTTTCATTGCAGCACATGCATCATCTAAACAGTTGTGTGGAGAACCTTCCTTGCGAAGTTCATAACCCAGCACTGCCTGCCAAACAATACGTGAAAATGATTAGCCATGCATCTAAAACAACTGATCTCCATCATTTGAACTCCTCAAATTGATTATAAGAAAGAGCTAACAGAGATTAAGGAAGAGAGAGAAAGAGCAGGAAAAAAAAAGATCACAGGCTAGACGTGGGAGGAACCATCCTAAACATTCCAATGCAAAAATTTAATTTGAACGCCCTATCGCTGTTGTTAAATAGGAATTACATCTGCTCACTCTGAAGATGTTCTAACTGAAATGAGTTTTCATTTGAAATAGAACTATAATGGTTGCAAATCTTAGTACGAGAGGAGTGCAGAGCATGCCTTATCAGTTCAGCATCTTACCTTACACAAACTACTCAAAGAAGGTGTCTTTCCATCTGAAGTCTTGAAGATAAATGAGGTGTCAACTACTCTTGCATGATCTATCTTTAGAGCTGTCAATAGTTATACATCAACAAAGTAAGATTAGGAGCTGATGATAATATTGCAACATAAACATAGCACCCCATAGTCCAATCAAAACAACCTTGGGAATAATAAATGCTCAATGTACCTTGCAAATCATTATATAAACCATGACCTACTAAAATAGTTCCTTTCGATAACAGCTTCTTCATGGATTTCTACAGAGATACACTACACATATTCAGGCAAGAAAGCCAGAGGGAGGACAAATATACTCGTGTATAATCGACGCCACACCTGTATATCCACCAACGAACAAGAGACTCCATCCAAGTCTCCTGAAGATACTCCAGTTATCTCAGTTCTATAATCTGCAACTGGTTTGCCAGGATTTATTAATTCATCAAGTTTTACCTGAGAAGTCAGAGCTCAGAGTTATTATGATTTTGGCACCCAAACCATCACGCACATTTTTTCAAATCCGCAGCACTTGTTGCCAGTTAACCACTTCTCAAGCATATATAAGCTCGTAATATAGCCTCCTATCAAATGAAGGAACTAATATACAGTGAAAGTGTGACTGATACCTGCAAATTGCAATCCACAACACACACCCTCACCAAAGCATCAGTGCCATCTTCACAAAGAACCATCTCACAATCAACAGCAAGCATATCATTTGCTTTCATCAGCTTGGATTTTTTGGGGATCTTTGTTACTAACCACTCCTGCCACGCCATTCCCATAAAATAGATCATCAACAAGGCAAGTCAAAAGAATTGACAACGTTGCTATGTCACTTTTAAGCAAATAAGATCATCAATTGGGAAAAAGGAAACTAAATCAACACATGCCAAGAATTTCATTTTTAATTAAAATACTGAATATTAGCTGCAAATGGAGTTCAGTCATCTTACACATTCCACAAATTGTCCTAGGACGTTAACCAGACTCTTCCAATAAACCAAGTAACTACTTTTATTTCTTATCCTTTGGATGAATCATATAATTCTAGATTTCATCCCTCAACTGAAAAATTTTCTGGAATTTTAGGAATAACAATGATCTGATAAACAGAAGAGGATAGCAATAAGCAACCATTCCAAGGAACAAAAGCAAGAATGTCTAATCTTCATGCATACAAGGAAAAGAAAAAGAAGCAGGGGGGTTTAGATTTAACGTTTCTTTTAATAAACACAAGGTGATTAGACACCCAACAAATGAAATTTGAACATGAAAATAATGCAGACAACCATACCAAAGGGAAAAGAGAAATGACCAAAGATTATGATTGCAGACCTTTTCATATGATGGAAAGGCATATTTTGGCAGATAGAATGGATGCTCGAGGGTTGAACGCACCAACCTCTGCACTAACACAATTGCAAATCAAACACAATGACAGTAGCCCATGAAAAATGAGTAATGAGTGAAACAAGTAGAGGTACACGCAAAGATTTTCTCAAAGGGAATGGAACAGAAGAAACAAGAAATAACAGAAACGTTGAGCACATAATGAACAGGTTGCCAATAAAGAGAAAACAGTAAAGGCATCCTGATATATCAAAACCGTGGAGTTGCTTCACGAAGCATAATTCATAAATGTAAAAACTTCACCCGACCTGCTGAGGCGATTCATCATCTGAAGAGTCCTTAAACAATTGGTTCAACACCTCCCGATTCAAATGTGCTTGAACAACATTAGCAAGAAACTGCAAACAGAAAGAATAACCTTCAAAATTTTGGACGGGACATTATAACATAACTTAGCCGTGATCCAACCAGTGACATACATCTCTCGGACTAATACATCACCTTCAAATGTTCCTCTGCTGTGACTGTTTTCAGAAACGAAATCAATGTCTCTCGCTTCCTCCTTGCTGGATCAGATAAGGAGGAGCCGATATTCCGATCATGAACATTCAGAAATTCCTTCCAGTTTCCATCGCTGCCTCTCATTCCATGTTTTTGACCCAACTTCACAATGTCAACAAGCACCTGCCCGCAACGACAAACGCTCAGAGACATCCATATTTTTGGCAATATCATGCTACCACAATACTAGTAACCAATATCACAAGACTTCAGGATTGATTTAATTCTTTACTCCACAGCTAAAAGTTTAACAGGCAATTTAAACTAAGCTAAAAAAGAAAAGGAAAGGTACAAAACGACTGGTGGAAGCAATCGAAGAACCAGAGGCTGTTAACACTACCGAGTTTGAAAATTAAAAGCATAAGCAGCAGCTCCATTTTCATGAGCAGGTAGTAGTTTCGGTTGAAGAAGTTGAAAACAGAGGCGTTGAGGTGTATGGGGCTGTGTAAGAGAGTGGCTCACCTTGTCTGGCGCGGCGGAGATGGCGGCGGAGAGGTTCACGTCCATTAGGGTTTTCTGTGGCGAAGGAAATAGAGAGTGGGGTAACACAGCGACCGGCGTAGGAAGAAAGAACCCGGGACGAGGGTTTTATAAGTTGTAGGATTTTTAAAAAAAAAAATTAACAAGTTTTCGGGATTAGCCTCAAAGGGGTTTTCACAAGAGTTACCAAGAGTGATTACAAAACAAGAAAACGTATAATTCCTCCAATCAAGCGAGCCCGCCAAATTTTTATATTTACACTTTAATCCCTAATTTCGACTACCTATTATGTTTAATCCCCTTAGCCTTTATGCAATTATTCTTACTTTTGTTTTCCTCTTTTTTAATCTTTAGACTCCTAATTTTCCTTTTATTATTCTTATTGGAAGTTACTCAAATTTTGCTTACAAATGTATCTTATATTCAAAAACCAATTTCTAATATATCCAACTAAGTTATGCATAAAGTATAGTATATAAATTAATTATACTTTGTTAATCTATGAAACATAGTTCATAATTTACTTGTACAACGCATATTATTTGCGTCGTTGTATTCTTTATCCCTAGTGAAAAAAAATGTCACTTTTTCCCGGATTAATTCCAATTTCTTAAAGTTGGAAGTTAACAAAAGAAAATCACAATAGAAACTACTGCCACGAATCTACTTATAGTTTGTTAGGGAATATAAAAGGGAAGGGGAGGGAGGAGAATGGATGGGAAGGGAAGGGATGGGAATGGTAGGAGGAGAAAATTTTAGCTTTAATTCATTAAAGAGAAGGGAGGAGAATAGTTGGAAATATTTTTAAATTATATAGATATTTTTATTTATAAATTACTTTTTAGAATATAAGAGATTAATTATGAAATTTTAAGTCATCATCTAATTCTAAAATTTCTCTCCCTTACCGCCGGGAACCTAAGATAACTATCACAACATGTTACATTTTCAATTTCTTGTCATTCATAATTTTGACTTTAAATGACAAAATTTTATAATATAATTATATTATCACAAATTCTACAGCGCAACAAGAGCGACATGCTAGCTTTTTTAAAAAAAGTGAACGAACGAGACGAACTCCAAATTCAAACTAGTATTCTATAGATGGAGCAGAATCAGAGCCTTCGTAAAACCACTTTTTTTTTTATTTTGATCTGAAATGATATTGTATTCAAAGTAATACTATTACATCACAGCGGGGCGACAAAAATTATGTCTCCCTCTGTCCTTTTCTACAAGGGTATCGATGCATAAAGGTTGTCTATTCAAAATACTAGGATCAAAAGGTAAATATAACGCTGATTTTTTTTTTTGTCGAAAAAAAAAGGCATTAGTGGTGTCATCATCGCCCCGTCGGTCTAGGCCCCGGTCAATACCGGTTACATCCTGGCATTAGACCCTCTTCATAGGAGAGACCGCCCAACCGGGGCACCAGTGGACACCCTCACCTGCTACGCGTCATAATATCGGGGAATCACCGGGCTCAACGGCCAGCACCCCACCGTGTGGAAGGCCATATTCGGCCGCATCACACTATGGGGCTTGACTGGAAGCGCCGGGACTCGAACCCGAGTCTTAGAGATGGCAGGTTGAAGGCCTTAATCCATCAGCAACTATGTTAGATGTTCTATACACATGTACAATTCTAACACACCAGTCCCTTAATTTATCAATATCATCCAAGACCATACTAGGATCCAGATCACCCCTAAGCCATTCGACCACGGCAAGAGCATCAGTCTCCACCTGCAACAGTCGGCAATTTAGACTCCAAGCCAACTATAAACCCAAAAGAACACCCCCGAGTTTGGCTTTAATAGGGACACAGGATCCCAAATTATTAAAAAAACCTGAGATCCATCATGCATTATGATACTTGAAAAAGCCATTTGAATAATTCTACTTATACTCTTTTTTTTGGTCGGGATAGTATTATATTAATACTTAAAACAGAGAATACTTCTCTACAAAATAGGCCTAAGCCTAAGTACCCCTGTCCTCCAAAAGAGGCGTGGTACATACAGTTGGCGGGGAGCTCAAAATATGAAGTCCCATACAAAAATTCGGGACTAGGGAAGCAATGGACTGTGCAACAATGTTTGCTTCACTATGTACAAAATCTAATGACCAATGTCTATGGGATTCTAATAATTGAGTAATATGGGCAGCCAACACTTCCAGTTCAAGATCCCACTCAAAACCCTCCAAAATCCAGCGTACCACTGCATGATCTTCTGACTCCAAGAAACATAAGGAGACCATCCCACTTCTGTCAGCCACAATAAGGCCTTGTAGTATGGCCTCCATCTTCGCCTTGTACTTGGTGTGTGTTGGCTCGACAAAAACAAAACCCGAGAGCCATACACCCATCTCATCCCTGCAAACACCCCCTGCTCCCAACTGCCTTCCACTACCATCCCTGTAACATGCAACATTAATTTTTCCAAGTCCCGTGTAGTGGGGGGGACCATCTCCAGAAAGTGGGTGCCTTACCTTTTCTGCCTGCACAGATTGCTGCCAGAAATGCTCTAGCATATTTAAACCTAACAGCAGCTTGACTAATCGACCGAACTGGATAGGCTACCTGTTCTGTCTCTTCCTCGAACACCAACTGATTTCTCCATTTCCAAATCATCCAACATGCCACCCCAAATAGGAGGTTCCTGTCAGGTTTGTTATCTTGGCTGTTCAGATTCACCCGCAACCATTCTTTGCAATCAAGATTGAAAAACTTGCTGTCGAGTTTTCCATCTCCCAACGCATACCAGATATCTTTGATCATTCCACAATCCCTAATGGCATGTGTGGCTGACTCAGGTGCCACTCCGCATTGTGGACATGTGCTTATATCTGAAATGTGTCTGAAAAACCTATTCTGGTTGGTCATGAGTCGGTCGTGGGCCAACAACCAGAGAAAGGAGCTGATGCGCACGGGTCCTCTCCACCTCCATATCGTCTTCCACAAGCTATCCTTAGGCCCCTAATTTGGTTTATCAAGGGCTTTATAGGCAGAACTTGTTGAAAATAATCCGGACTTCATGGGAAGCCAAACTGCTACATCCGGACCCTTGTTAGGATGAGGTATAGGTTCTCTCCATAATATATCTCCCACCTCTGCAGGTAAGGCTGATTGTAACTGTTCCCAATTCCATTGGTTGCCGTCCACAATCATGTCCACCACATAAGTAAGGTTGGGGGCTTCTAAGTTGGCAAGTGTTTCATTCCTGAGGCATGTCAAGTTATCCAGCCAAATATCCTCCCAGAAATACGCAGACCCACCATCATTTACCTTCCATCCCATAAGCTGGCGGAAATCAGGCCACACTTGGCAGACTGCTCTCCAAAAATTAAGCCAACCTGTCTTTTAATTGTGAGTGGCGCAGGCTCATTCTCCTTCAAGTATTTACCCCTGATGATCTGCACCCAAAAGCCCCCATCTAGGTGACTATCTTCCAGGCCATTTTCATGATCAGCGAGTCATTAGTGCACCTCATTTTCCGCAAACCAATCCCCCCTCTTTCTGTAGGTTCGCAAAGTTTCTCCCAATGGATCAGATGCATTTTCTGTTTGTCTGGTGTGGATCCCCAGATAAACTGTCTACACAGCCGATCTATTTCGTCACAAGTACTGCGTGGGAGCCTGCAGGTTTGCATCGTGTATGTTGGTAAAGCCGATAGGACGACTTTGGTCAATGTGATTCTTCCAGCTAGCGACAATCGGTTTGCTTTCCATCCGCTAAGCTTTTGGTGAGCTTTATCAACAATGTGACTAAATGTGGTCGTGCAGGAGAGGAATTCCTAAATGCTTGCCAAGGTCTTTCGTCAGTTGAAATCCGAATGCATTACTAATGGTAGATGCATCCTCTTCTTTGGTGTTTGTTGAGAAACATATGTGGGATTTCTCCTTGCTTATCCTTTGACCTGAGAAGAGACAAAAATTATGCAAGCAATCATTAGTAATGGAGACTTGTTGAGGGGTTGCGGTGAAAAGAGAAGGAGGTCATCCGCAAATAATAAATGTGATATCTTCGGTCCTCCTCTGCTTAGAGTTATCGGCTTCCAGGTTTTACTTCTTACAACATTGTCGATAAGGTTTCCCAATCTCTCCATACATAGGACAAAAAGGTAAAGTAAGATTGGATCCCCTTGTCGAATGCCTCTTGAAGGTTTGAAAGGTCTAGAGGCAGCTCCATTCCAACAGATTTGGAGGCTTGAAGAAGAAATGGATTCCATTATAAGGTTGATCAAATTGCTAGGCACGTCTGCAACCATAAGAGTTTCCTGAATGAAGCTCCATTTTAGCCTATCGTACGCCTTCTCCAAGTCGATCTTGATTGTCATTATGTCGGCTTTGCCTTTCTTCCGACGCATGAAGTGCACCACCTCCTGTACAATAATTGTGTTGTCGGTTATAAGGCATCCCGGGACAAAACTGGATTGTCTAGGTGATACTAGTTCCTCCAGTAGCGGCTTGAGTCTCTCTACTATTATCTTGGTCACCACTTTGTATAGGACATTACATAGCCCTATAGGACGGAAGTGAGTGATCCGTTCCGGCCTTTCAATCTTCGGTATCAAAACAATAAGGGTCTGGTTAATGCGTTCATCCCACCAGTTTCCAGCAAATATCTCCTTGATCATCCCTACAACATCACCCCCAACATGGCTCCATTGTGATTGAAAGAATAGCGCGTGAAGACCATTTGGACCAAGAGCTTTCAGGGGCCCCATCTGAGTAATACACCTCTTTACCTCTTCATCGTCGATAGGGAGGGTTAGTGAGTCCATCCTCTCTTGGTCAATGTGGGGGAAACTCTGTGGGAGAGGAAATAAAAAATCTGCTTGTGATTCGTCGGTGAACAATTTGTGAAAATAATCAACAGCGAGCACCTGTAGTCCCTTCTCATTATTGACCCAGTTCCCATCATCATCTCTTAGAGCATCAATTCGATTTTGGTGTCTCTGGATAATAGCTGTGGCGTGGAAATATGCGGTATTCCGGTCTTTCTCTCGAATCCACTTACA